TTTTTTTTTTTTTTTTTTTTTTTTTTTTTTTTTTTTTTTTTTTCTTAAGAGTGTGTCTGCCTCGGGCCTGCGCCAGTCGTGAATGCTGCATGCCACTTTGTGAGCCTTAGAAGGCGGCAGCTTCAGCAACGTAAGGACCAGATCCCACTACAAGTCCCTATTGTTCATTTCTGACCCTTGATCTTCGTGATCGATGGTGAAAAATGAATAATCCAGGGTTGTGGGATTTTTTTTTTCTTTTTTTTTTTAACAGGGAAAAATGAATAATCCAGGGTTGTGGGATCTTTTTTTTTTTCTTTTTTTTTTTAGCAGGGAAAAATGAATAATCCAGGGTTGTGGGATCTGAACCTAAGACTCGTGTGATTTACTGGTGGCCAGAACTTTGAAGTGTGAACCACCACCTTCTTCCCCCGAATACGACGTACGGTCATTATAGCTGTATCTAGACTGAAATATGCCTCAAATACAGCAGCTATAATGACCGTATTGTCTTCCCGCGAAGGAGGTAGATGAAAATAAAAAAATGTTGTCCAGGATTGGAATGCGACCAACTTTTGGCGGAGGGTCACTTCAGAATTCCTCATAGACTCAGAAATAAAAAATAAAAAGAAAATTAAAGCCAAAAATTATATATACCCCTTGGAAGTGAAAACCCCATTCAACCATCTTCAAAACCCATGTATATATAATGAAATATTCCTCTTTCAAAAAAAAAAAGGAAAAAAAACCCATGTGTATACCCTTTTTGGCCCTGGGCATGCAAACAATTTCCACCGGCCGTTTTCGGGGTATAGATGCAAGCTGGCGCTGGGCATGGGTATAGCTGGTATTTCCATCTTTAAGAGGGGTACAGTTGCAAGTTGGCCTTCTTTTTTTTGTTTGTTTATTTTGGGAATGAACTTTTGGGAAAGAACTTGTTCCAGGGAGAGAAATTGTTCCCAAGGAAAAATCACTTTTGGGTACAGTGCATAGGCAGCACACTCTGCACCAGTCTTCCCTCATGGGCATTCATCAATTGCTCAACTTTCTTTTCCTTTTTTTTTTTTTTTTTTTTTTTTTTT